GTTTTCTTCCAAGATTTCAGGCATGAGTGACATCTCATAAATGTAGCTGTTTTGTGTTTTAAGTGTTTCTTTTCCCTTAAGTCCACCCTTTCAATATTGTTAAATAAATACTTTTAAACTTGTTATTAGTTTAAGGAGAAAGCTAGAAAGTTTTCAACTTTCTCTTTTCCTCCAAAGCTACCCTAAAAGGAGAGAGAGAAAGTAAGTGGTAGACCTAATGGTGAATTACACTGTGAGACCATATATCAAAGTGAGGTCCACTGCACTGGAATATGGAATTCCATTACACATCTCTGTTTTTCATCACAAAAAGAAAGTAATAAGTGGAGTATATGCAATGGTCAGCATGGAGGTGGGCATATCTGACCTCCTCTGGCTTCCTTATTACCAGGAGCCAGGGACCAGGGGCCAGGGACCAGGTATACCTTCACCCCACATCCTTCTTTCTGACCCAACTATCCCTCCCCTGAGACTCTACTTCTATGCTAGGTTCAATAATTCATTGCAACAGCCACACAGAGCTGACTGACAGGACTCACAATTAAGGGGTTACAGTACTAGGGAAGTCAATGGGTAACCACAAGTCAGAATCAGTGGACCCTACAGATGCAGTCAGTGGTCCACAGCAACACCTCTCCTCAGCCAGCAGCCAAGACTCTCTTCTGTCCTCAGCCTCTGCCCCTGGGCCTTTAGCTCTACCACACAGGTTCACAGTCCCAGCAGGAATCCTCTTGCTCTGTCCCGCAGCTCTGTGCCACAGTCTCAGACAGAGATCTAGAACAGGCTCTTCCAAAGATCCGGGCTTGCTCTCTGCTGCTGTGTCATAGATAGGTCATCCTTAGAGCAGAGGAAAGGAGTGGCTAAAGACAAAACAAACAAACAAACAAAAAAACCAAACTGACCAACCCTTCTATTAGTTTTAAAATAATCTATTTGCATAATCCTACCCAAGGATTTGATAGGATTTATAGACACTTGGGTAGAAGAGCCATATTAAATTTCACTCCACCACATTATGTAACTAAGACTATAGGTTGTATCCCTAGACATTGTACCATGAGGGATAAAATGCTCATTTTCTAGATTTTAGTGCTGTCAATAATTTAAAGACCTAGTTAGAGAAACTAAGCACAAAATCTCAACTTAATAAAATCGGGTCCATTTTTAGGGTTCTTTGCTTGGATACCATAGTTAGCAATGGAATGCTTACAAAATAACGCCACCAGACTCTTACTTCTTTCCTTGCACTATGCATGGGTGTTTTCTCCATGACAGCATGGACATGATTAGGTAAGCATATCCATGCAATATTTGCTCATACTTACACCGAAAATTTGTTGTTTATCTAAAGTTACAGTTTAACTAGACTACCGTATTTTTAATTCCCAAATCTGGCAACTCTAAAATGGAGACATTTGTAGTGTCTCACTTATTTTGAAGACCACTTGAGATAGGAGCTTTGGTAGCTACTATCAATTGAAATTTCAGTGTTTTCATCATCATTTGAAAATGTAGCCTGGGTGACGCAAAGGGTTAATGTGCTCAGCTGCTTACTCAAAGGTAAAAGGGTCAAGACCTCAGAAGAATGGCCAGGCTACCTCCATCTGAAAAATAAGCCTTTGAAAATCCTATTGTCTGGGTGGATTTTATCTGAAGAATGACTAAAGAAAAGTTCAAGTTTATGAAATCCTTTCATTAGTTTATCACAAAGTAATAATCATGGTAAGACACACAGGTAAAACCTATAGATAATCCTTTAACATTGGAGAATCAGAATTGAAAATTGTAATGTTAGTTTACACTTTAAAATTAAAATCTTTCTACTTCAGAGACTTACCTTTGCAAGTGGTCTCAGAGAAGACACTTGAGTGCCTTTCAAACTCAGAGTGATCCCCAAAGTGGGGGTCCCGGGTTGGTTGGGGCAGGCATGCAATTTCCCTGCAGGCTCCTCAGTCTTCAGAGGGTAGACAGACCTCTTGTTTCTCTTATCTCTGAAAATGAGAAGAATCCACAGGTTTATATAGCTGAGTACAGTCATGTTCAACTATAATTTGTATGTTTCATTGCCAGATAATAAATTAATGACATATCATGCTTTGTTAATTTATATTGTGTTGTGTTGTCAATTAGGGAATTGTTGTATGATATATTTATATTATTTTTTGCTACATGTTTCAAGGCCAAGTTAATTAATTGAAAACTATGGGAATTTAGTGACATATTTATGCCTGGTTGATTGATAGAGATTCATTTTGTGTTCCATGATTACAGAATGCAGGTACACAATTTTCAAAAAGTTATTTACCACCTACTTTCCATGCTTCTAATATCTGAATTTCAAAGTTAGAATAATTTTCTAATGACATATTTAATCTTTAGAAAGCATTATTATATGTATGTTTCCAATTTCACATTGACAAACACTTTCTGTAGAACTTCACATTATAGGCACACCTTATTTTATTGTACTTTATGGATATTGATTTTTTACAAATTGACGATTTGGGACAACCTTGTGTCAGTCTATCAGCACCATCTTTCCCATGGCATATGCTGACTTCGTCTTTGTGCCCCATTCTGGTAATTCTAGCAGCATTTCAAGTACTTTTTATAATGCTAGGCTACTTATGGAGACAAGTGATGGGGAAGGACAGCAGTAGAAGGGCAGCAATAAAGAAGACTCTCAATGAGATGGACTGACACAGTCGCTAGAACAATGGGCTCAAACGAAAACATTGTGAGGATGGTGAAGGATGTGAGGGCCAAGCAGTGTTATTTTCTTTTGTTGTACAAAGAGAGGCATGAGTTGGAACCTACTTAACAACAGCCTTGCACATTGAATAAACTACTGCATAGTATGAACTGAACGTTTGTATGTGCCAGCATGCCCCCACCCCTCACCAAAGGGGTATGACTCTCACTTTGCTGCAATAATTGCTTTATTCTGGTGTCTAGAACCGAACTTGCAATATCTCTGAACTCTGGCTATATAAGTGACATATACATAGTGTTTAAAAGCATTAGCAAACCTGATGGCAGTGCAAAAGAGCACAATAGAAGCATACCTAATTGTGACCTATACATATGTGTTTTATGAACTTTAAAGAAACAGATGTAATTT